GGGGCCAGGTGTCCTCCACATGAATGTGCACAGCGCACACATGCGTACTTACCGCCTGCGACACCGTGACACCTCTGTGATGCTCCAGCTGCTCGACAGAGCATCACGCAGGCGCTATATGCTCCGTGCGTGTGCATGGAAGCCCCGAACAGCTCAAATACAGGTAAGGAGCATGGGCGGGCAGGTGGGCCCTCCGAAGCACCATACCAGAAAGGTACCTGGTGCTCCCAACAGGCACCAGTATGCCCGTACCAGGGCATACCGGTCGTATCCCACCACTGATGCTGTTTCTATCAACCACCAGGATTCCCAGACTCAAAAATGCAGTTTTTAAGTCTGCCTCTTTAAAAATATTCCAGTCATTTTTAAGCACAAACTTCAGTTGAAAGCATCCAATTAAAAACTGCTCAGTGTCTGTTTGGATAGTGAGATGGGCACAGAGGTGGGTTCCTACCAGTTCGCACCTATTCGGTAGAACCGGTTCATCAAATCTACCAAACCGGTTAGAAGAGGTTCCACCAGTGGACCCGAAAAGCAGGCCACACCTACAGAAGAGGTTCCAAATTTTTTTGAAATCCACCACTGGTCACAATCAGGCGAAAACCAGAGGATTGGCAGGCAGCTGAAAGAGAGGATCTCATGATGACCATGCTTTACACCTTCTTCAAGAGGCTTGGGAACGATGGTGTGTCCTTGTAAATCTCACTGAAAGGGAGAGTGAATTAGCCGAGCAGGCAGAGAGGGGAGCAGAAGACCTGGTTAGCCCTGAAACGTCCCTGGGAACAGCTGCTGGAGCTGGGCAAGAGGGAGGGCCCCCAGCCACAGCAGCAGCAGTATGAGCTCTGCCAAGGAAACTCCCAAAGGCACCAAATGCTTCAGATTCCTCCACTTAGAGTGAACTACGGAGGAGATCCCAAAGAACTGGGGTTTTACTGCAAGTTTGGGATTACATGCAACAGTATGGGGAAGTTTTCTCATTGGAAGTTGCCAAAGTGAGAAGTGTTACTATGGCTTTGGGAGGCAAAGCAGCTGCCTGAATGATAGCCTTTCATAAAGATGATTCCCCCTTGCTGGGGGATTACAAGGGGTTTATGACTGCCCTGAGGAAACATTTTGATGACCTCCTCCTAAATCAAAAAGCAAAAAGCAGGATGATACCTTTAACCCAGGAGGGGAGGCCTGAGGTTGGGTACACACAGAAGTTCCGTGAGCTGTTTGTGCATTTGAGGGGGAGGTCCGAGGAGGCACAAAAAGCAGAAAAGGAGGGGCATTGGAAGCCCACTAGGCATGGCCCACAACTGACCCCGGCTGGTGGGGAGGAACCTGGCTGGCAGCTAGGGAGACACTGTGAAACTGCCCTAGAAAGCGTGGGAGGTGTTGATGTCCTTCCTCCAGGCCAGGAGGAGAAGAAACCCTCCTCTTCCATGGGAGAAAGTGAACATGATGCAGATGACAATCACTCGGTGAGTCCCTGATCGGGCCCCATGATCATCCCAGTAGAATTAAAAGTGCCATCAACTGGAGCCCAGGGGAAGATGCTGGCCCTTTTACACTCTGGATGTACCCGATGTGTAATCAGCCCAGAGGTGGTGGAGAAAATGGGTTTAATACTGAGAACTTTGAAAGTATCCATTGCCTTTTGCCAGCTGGATGGTGTCAGCCTCTGCTTTGCTACTGCTTCAGCTGCCATTGAAATGGGGAGGGGGGGTGCTTTTTGGGAGGGGAATCATTATGTGNTTTTTATTATACATTTTCTTTTATTATACATCACATTTCCAGTTTTACTACTGGGGAAATACTATAAAAGAATCACATACTTACATTACATGTAATAACAGCAGCTAAAATCACATATGCACAAAATTGAAAGAACAAAACTATACCTATATATGAAAAGGTAATAAAATATTTTTATTATACATTTTCCTTTATTATACATCACATTTCCAGTTTTGCAACAACAATGTACTGGCTGTATCAAGTCCTTTTTAAGCATACATATCAGTAGTATACACCCTGATTATAACCATTATTCTCGTAGTCTTACAACGTATCCCCTTTAAATACATAATATTGTATGTCATAGTTATAACCATTATTTTCATAGTTGTACCATAACACTCTATACCAGTGATGGCTAATCTTTTTTTAAAGGCGTGCCAAAATTGTGCATGCGCGAACCCAAACCCACAATGGAATCCGCCCCACCCACCTGGGGAGAGTGAAAACGCCCCCCGCCCGCCATCCGGAAGGTGGAAATGGATAATTTCCGAACTTCTGTTCTTATTAGGTATATTACTGGGGAAATACTATAAAAGAATCGCATACTTAACATTGCATGTAATAACAGCAGCTAGAATCACATATGCACAAAGTTGAAAAAACAAAACTTTACCTATAGATGAAAAGGTAATAAAGAAAATATTAGAATGTGCCGAATTGGACAGGTTAACGATGGAACTTAAGGAGAAAGAGGAAACGGTGCATTACTTAGCATGGGACTTCCGGGAACAAAGTTTCGATTGGGCCGTTGGGCCGTTTCTTGCTCTCCCCAGGCTTTAGGAAAGCCTCCGGAGCCTACATTGTATGACTACGAGAATAAGGGTTATAATCAGGGTGTATAAAACTACGTATGCTTAAAAAGGACTGGATACAGCCAGTACACTGTCGTTGCAAAACTGGAAATGTGATGTATAATAAAGGAAAATGTATAATGAAAATTTTTTTTAAAGCAAGCAGTTGGTCCTCAGGCTCTTCTCTACGCGGAGATTATTCTAACCTTCGCGTGTGAACTGAGAGGGCAGCGACTGGCATCAAAGGAGGGTTCCCTATAACTCTCAAGACCATCTGTGCAGCTGCCGGATCTTACCCGACGGACTCGGTGCGCACAATCCTACGGCCTCTGTTGATGCGTCACGTCAATAAAAAGTAATGAAGCTTCTCGGCGGCCGAGAGCCGCATCGAGCTTTTCCATCCGCCACCCAACAGAGAAAATAAGGGGGAGTCAGGCAGAGAGGAGCGCACCACAATCTAACACTAGCAAATTAGACGATTGAAGCGGCCGATTAACAGCTCATTGCAGGTTCACTGGGGCCAATAACCGGGATAGAGAAAGAGAAGAGCGTAGCGTCTCACTAACGGCATCAACCAATGACTTCCCCGACACCCGTCCCAATGGGCCGAGCCTGCGGAGAGAGAGCGTTAATGTCTGCGCAGGCTCGTTTCGAGAGAGAGCGCACGAAACCCGGATAAGGGGAAGAGGCGAGTGAGGAAGTTCCCGTCTTGAGCAACCGGGTTATGAGGCTGGGAGGTGGGGCTGTTTTTTTCCTACTTAGGTGGGTCGGAGCGCAAATACTCCAAGTGAGACCTGCGGCGCTTCCTTATGTTATAAGTAAGTATTTATTTACTAGATTTCGACTCTACCTCTTCATCTGGAGTTGAAGGCGGCAGATTTACGGGTCATTTTTCTTGAAAAGAACCGCCCTGTGGGGTAGGCTGAGCTCAGATTTTCTACTGCGTGGCCTCCCAGAAAAAGACTTTCGGCAGCAGTTCTGTGGTTGGGCGGGCAGCCAGCTACAGAATTCCTGCTAGTGGATGGCAATTTAATTCAACATCATACTGAGATTTTTTTAAAAACTTCAGTTTCTTTACAGTTTGGCATAACGTGAAAAATAGCATAAAAATTAAGTAAACTATATTAAGAATGGACGTAAACCCTGGGAAGGGATCTCTTTTGTTTTTTGCATTTTCTCTTCCAACCTTCCCTCCGCCCAATGCTTTACGGCTCTTTTAAGAAGTTTCCTAAAGCCCCTTCTCTTTAAAATAAGTTCTCAGCTTTGTCTCCCACACAAACATGCACAGGGAGTTGTTTTTTGGGGGGAGGTATTGTAGATTAGTTAATTAGCTTATATGCGTTTCACTTTTTATGATAGCAGATCTGCCCAGTATACTTTTGCTATAGTGTATCCTGTTATGTTTGTGAAGTACATGCTATGGATGAATATAAATATGTAGTTGAGGGTTAAGGCTAGGGTATTACAGGATAATAAGAAATTGCGTTATGCAGGTAATCCTCAATTTACCACACTTCATTTAGTGACTTCAAAGTTACAAGGCACCAAAAAAAGTGACTTATGGCCATTTTTCACACTGATGACTGTTGCATGGTCATGTGATCAACTGGTTGGCAACTGGTTCATATTTATGCCATATCCCATGGTCATGTGATCAAGAAAAACAGCACCCAGAGTCTTATACCTTCGTGTCACATTTTACACTTTATGTGAAAGAATAACTTATTTATTTTTTTCTTTCGAATATCTGTATTTGTTATCCTTTAAAGGGATCAGCTCACATTTATTTGGCAGGAGAATATGTGTGATGGATGATTGAATGTTTTGAAAAGAAGCTGCTAAAATAATTCAAAACTTGTAGGGACATAATAATCAAATACTGCATTATAACCAGTACTATGGAAAAACTTGTAAAATTAAAATACAAATGAAACATGCATTACAGCCTTGGGGTTAGTGTATAATCTTGGATTATTAAAAAAGAGTGCTTAAAGGCAACTTCATTTGCATTTGTCAGGATTCAAAAATGACAAATTCCATAACACCTTCTACTTATGTACGTTCCCTTGGCTATGGAATGATGAGACAGCTGGCAGATTTCATTGATCCACAAGAAGGATGGAAGAAATTAGCTGCTGATATAACTGATTTATCTGGTGCAAAACGATACAACCAAATGCAAATGAGGTAAGGTGTGGAAACTAAAGGGGAAGATTGTTACATATTTATTTAAGTTTTTAATAAATTTATATAGTCACTTAACCCCTTTATTTTAGCTAGAGTTAGTTTGCAACTTGCTAAATAATTTGGTCATTGAAAATGAGGGCAATAGAACTAGTGGATGCTCAAGCATGCTCACTGTGAGTGATTGGTAGTTGGAGTGAGGGAACAAAAAATTGTTAGAACAGCTGCTGTTGGGACATCGCTAAGGTGAGGGAGTAAAAGTCAACCTTTGAGATGGACCCTGTCTGAGTTTTCTTCTGCTCGTATATCTAGACTAGAGATGTGAGAAGCTGTATTGGATCACGTTGATATTGTATTGCTTGTAGGTTTTCACTGAAAGATTAGCAATAGCAGTTAGACTTATATACCGCTTCATAGGGCTTTCAGCCCTCTCTAAGCGGTTTACAGAGTCAGCATATCGCCCCCACAATCTGGGTCCGCATTTTACCCACCTCGGAAGGATGGAAGGCTGAGTCAACCCTGAGCTGGTGAGATTTGAACCGCTGAACTGCTGAACTAGCAGTCAGCTGAAGTGGCCTGCAGTACCCACGAGTGTCCAAAATAAGACTTAGGTGTCTACAGTTTGGGGTTGTCCAACAGCAGTGGTGGGTTCTTACAGGCGGTCCTACCGGTTCGCTGAGCACATGCTTCGCACTATTATATTAATTATTTAAGACAGTAGGTTCATGTATACTACTACTTTATAGCTGGCAGAATATTTAATGTTTAGCTGTTCAGGCTTGGACTAAAAACTTAATAGCAAAAGTGCAACTAAAATGGTTAAACATGTCACATTTTTTAAATAAATAATAGCTAATTCTTTAACATATGTATATATCTTAAAGGCGATTTGAAGCATTAAAACAAGTAGGAAAAAGTCCCACCTGTGAATTACTTTATGATTGGGGAACATTAAATTGTACAGTTAGAGATTTGGTGGACCTTCTCATCAGAAATCAGTTTTTGGCACCAGCAAGTCTTTTGATTCCAGGTAATTTCGATCTACACTTTATCTTTCACACAAGCATTTTGTTTTCTTGAAAATGTTGATTTCATACAATTCAGCTATGATAGTACATGTTTTGTTCTGGCTTATTGCTAATATGAAACCTAGCCATTATCATTTTTAAACCGTGGTTAAACTGTAGTGAACCAAACATTATTAGCAATCTTTGCCTGAAACTTCTGTAGAGAGTACACATAAATCACTATCCTCTTACCAGATGACCTAGAGTCCTAGAACATGATTTGACAGTGGAAGAGATAGTACAGGTAAACCCTGATTAGCTTTCTTTATGTGAAGCACAAGTTCTCACAGATTTTATCAATTATGCATATTGTAGTCAAAAATTCTTGGCTAGCATAATTGAATAACTACCACAAAGTGAGGCTACTTTATATTAAGTATACTGAATATACTAAGGCTACAATTAAAATTTACATTTAAAAAAACTTCATTTATTATTACATTTACTGATATGGTTAGTAAGGTTATGCTTTTGAATTACTGTATTTTTCGGAGTATAAGATGTACCTTCCCCCCCCCCCAAAGAGGATGAGTCTTATACACCAAATGTAGCCCTGCCTCCGCCCTTTGGCCTCTCTCCCAGCAATTTACCTCCTTGCAGCAAACGGGGAAAATGGGGTTTGCGGAGGCGGCAATAGGTTATGGCAGTGATGGTTAATCTTTTTTAGCTTGCATGCCAAAAGCGGGGGGAGTGCAGGGGGGTCGTGCACGGGCATGACCACACCCATAATGCTATGTGCACACCAGCACGGGTGACACCAGTGCACATGCATGTGCGACCAGTGCTCCCCCACTTTTGGTGCACTTGTTTTGCCCTCCCCATGCTTCAGAGGCTTTCTAAGAGCCTGGGGAGGGCAAAAACAGCCTCCACCCCCAGAGGCCCTCCGGAGGCTTCAGGAGCTTCCCTGAAGTCTCCGGAGCGTGAAAAACCAGCCCTACAGGCAAATTGGAAGTTGGGAATGGACTTCAGGTTTGCTCGTAGGACCATTTTTCGCCCTCCAGGAAGCCTCCTGAAGGCAAAAAATGATCTTAAAAGAAGGCCAAAGCTGACAGGGCAACACCTCGCATGCCCTAACAAAGGCTTTGCGTGCCATCTGTGGTGTGCCATAGGTTTGCCATCACGGGGCTATAGCAATCCCTGCAGCCTGAAACAGCTGATCATTGGGAAGCCAGTGCTGAAACTGAAATTAAAGTGAAACTGCTGCAAGGAGGCAAATTGTTGGGAAGCAGAGGCAGAATTTTTTTCCCTTCTAATCAGGCTAAACTGAAACAGGCTGTTTGCTGTTTGCTGCAAGGAGGTAAGTCAATAACTATAAATGCCTATAGAATGTTCAAATTATTAGACTTATTTTTTAAAGACTGCTTTATTATTGTTCTAGACAACTTAACAAAGTGAAGAAGCTTTTTAAAATAAATGCTTGATCTGAAGAGGCTCGGTGCTATTGTATCTTCTTTTAAATAGCA